AAACTACAATGTTTAAAACAAGATACTAAAAGTGTTACTTTATACTATAATGATATGCATGCTTGTTTATTACGTTGTGGTTTAGATGAATGCGAAGAAGCTACAGAATTGAGGTTTTTACGTGGGCTTAACAAAGAAATTCAGGACATTCTTTATTGTCAAAGATATACATCTCTTTCTCATTTGTTATAACTTGCTTGCAATGCTGAAAGTAAAATAGAGGAGGACATGAAGAAGCAACTTGCTATGTTTTTGCCTTCTATTACTAACCATTTGCAGGAAGTAGATAATCATGAAAAGGAGGAGAGAGACATGAAAAAGCCGCCAGTCCTATTATTCACACTCAAAGTCGAGGCACCTCCATCATCTGAAGAGGGCATCAAAGGTAAAGTAAATGGTGCTGAAATTAATCAAGGTGAATGTGTTGTTAATGAAGTAAATTTTTCCACTTTTCATGCTAAAGTAGAGCAACCGTTAGTGGAACCAAATGCTGAAATTCCTTTATCATAAGTTAATTTACTTGTTGTTCCTTGTGATAAAGAAGAGTTGTGTGATAATGCTTCACTTATATCAATGCCACAACTAGTTAATGAACATGCTATTCCTAATGTTAATTCTGCTGATTTTAAGTATGTTGTTCACATTGCTCATGAAGTTCAGGAACGTCAATTGATAACTTCTTTAAATACTTTGGGCTATGTTAACTTTGATAATTTTTGTGAGCTCGATAATTTGAAAGAGAAATTATTTGCTAAATCTGATTTGCCATGTCCAACCAATGCTATTTTTCATATCTTTGGCGAATATAATAATAGAAAAATATATTTGGTGCATAGAGTTTATATATGTTCGGATTTAGAACCTCCTCTACATGTGGATAAAACTTGCAAGCTAAAGATACATGTTATTTCTAATCATATTACTTCCAATCTCTCTTGTTTTGATTGGATGAAACATGTTGTTTTAAATCGACCACGCGTTGAGCATCATATGGAAAAACCGAGGACGGTTTTCCGTAAAGAAGGGGAGGATGATGTGACCATGGCTACTACGGATACAACCGTTGCTCACATCATGGATGAACATCACGATATCAAGTTCAAGTCCTCCAAGTGCTGGAATCCGATTCGGCCTACTTCTACACTGCTGATTTCAAATGGCCGCCGAATCTGCATACAACCTCGGTTTTCGGCCCGTGAGTATTTGATGGAAAGCTCTCGGAGTCCTCTTTTCAACGGATCCAACCTCATCCCCGAATTCCATCTCCTTTGGCCGCAATTGCAGAAACAAGGTGCTGCATCACCTATCATGGGCCTTTGGGCTTGTAACTTCGTTTGGGACCCCGGCCCAAGTGGGGCCCATGTGGGGTGCGCCCCAAGCTGGTAGAGCACGACGTTAGGACCCTCTTGGTCATTCTCTCACATCCTTAAATACCTAGGTACCCTTTCAGGGTTTCTTGGGTTTTATTTAGATGAAAGTTTAGCCATTGCTACTTCCTTGCAGTGCGTGTGTCAGCTAGACCGTCCGTCTGCTTGTATTCGAAACCCCAACTTATCGTGTGTCTGAGATTGCTTTTATCTTGTTCTTGCTTGTTTCTTCGATTTGCTTGCAGGAATATGGTTGATCTACACCGGCAAGATCAACAACCCACGGAGAGGTGTATCGATCACTAAGGCGCAACACGTCTAGTACGGTTGTAGTTGGATCGTCAACGTTTCTTCCAAATCGTAGTTATCACCAACTCACCGAAAGACCGGACCAAACAACTGCCTTGAGTGTCGAAAGGAACTCAGGATGCATCAGCGCCTCCCCATCGCCGGATCAGCCACCATAGCACAGGCAGAGGGCGGCCACCGTCAGATCCGCACAATCGTGTGCCTCCTCCGTCTTGCTCCGCTGCCCGAGTCCCTCCACCGCCGTTAGGAGGAAAGAGAGGGGAGAGAAGTGGGGGAGAGGAGGAGGAAGCCGTCGCCGTCGCCCTTGCCCTTGCCCCCCGCCGGAGCCTGCTACGTGCTACCGAGAGTAAGGAGAGGGGAGAGGGGAGAGGAGGTGGGGAGAGTAGTGGGGGATATGAGTGGGAGAACCGGGAGAGGAGAGGAGTGGAGTGGAGTGAGGGTGATGGGGGTGGGTAAAGGAGTGGGAATCTTTCGGGGTATTTTTGCATGCATGTGAGTTAAGAACACCGCATGCGAAAATACCCTTATTTCCCTTATTTTGGTGCGGATATTTCTAAGCGGTTCATCTAGAAAAATTTATTTTTATATATATGTTTTAAAGAGCTGTATGGAAAAATGAGGATCGATCTTTACAGACACGGACATTTATGTTTCGTCCGCAATATATTGAGATGCTCGTGTAGAATTTTTTTTAAGCAGTGAGAATATCTTAGTGGGAAGACGGTAAAGTAGGCCTCGAACCACTCTCTCTCTCTCTCTCCATGCATACGGAGGAGTAATTTCTCTCTGTGCTATTGATGATATGGGGATCGAGTTAAGAATATGCTGACACGTCTGATATACCTGTCAGGCCATTACTAGGATAGGGCACACCACTTTGTCAGGCCCAAACCGAATGTGCTGCTGCATGCTATACTATCTGCACTGGATATATATCTGCATGCATCTCTGCCGCCAATCCATCATAAAGTAGGAGTATATACCTGTATACAGTATATCATCATCAGAGAGAGTAGTAGTAGTGTTATGCATGCATGGGATCGATGAATTAACTGCTACAGTTACCGGCTGCAGCAGATGAGCTGAGCTGAACTGTGCTAGGCTAGCCATGCACAGATGCACTCCCCTATTAAATTACCAATCACTCTATTCCACTCTATATATTCGTCCACGAATAGAAAAGATTATACGAAGCCTTTTAAAATATAAAGGCCTCAAAGGTTATCCATAAGTTTATTATAAGTCATAACAATTTATTAGCAGCCAAAAATAATTTTTGTAAAGTTTTGTGTATGTGTTCTTAGCGATTTAAAAGCCAATGCTATAAAATAAACTATGCTAAAAAATATTTTAAAATCAACTTCAAAATTAAGTTTCAAAATTTAAATTTTGACTTTGACTTTGGTGTTTTAGGCAACCGATCGATGGAGCTCAAACATTTTAGACCGTCTATAAATATGGTTAGAAAATGCTTATATTTTAGAGCGAATGAAGTATGTTGTTAAAATATATAGCTTAAGGGGTTGAGGTGAAATTATTTTGGTACTTCTAAAAACCTTTTATTTAATTAAAAATCACGATTACCCATGTAAGTGAGCAATTTAATACAATGAGGAATTGGAAAAGTAATACTCTAAATAAGATCTGTTATATTTAATTTGTAGACGAGTTCTAAATTAAAATCAAAATCTCTATAGCTTGTACTCGTGTATGGAGCACTAAGCAATGTATTACTACTATCTAGAGGTAGAGGGTGCATGCCTGCTAGAGCTAGCTAGCGAGGTTGCATGCGTAGGATTCCCGTGACCTGGTCTGGAGCGATTGTTGCTAATTATCAGCTAGCGCGTCGATCGATCGCCTATGGATGGATGGATGGATATCGATCGATCACAGGAGGCACTTGGTTAGATTGCTATTAGATGGATGGCATATGTTGGGGGGAGGACGGAGCGAGGAGGGGTTGGTTGGACTGGACAACCGATCGATCGACGCGTACAGCTCACACCCACAGGAAACCAAACTCGTACTGTACTTGCTACAGCTATATCTCCTGCCATTGCATGCGTCAGATCGACTTGCTACTTGCTTCTCTCCATCAACCATATGATATGAGAGAGAGAGAGAGAGAGAGAGAGAGAGAGAGAGAGATTGGGGAGAGTTAATTACTCAGTTTATCACTAGTACTCCAATAAGCATATCGATATGCAACTGGTGATTAATTCACTGTACGAATATTGTTGTGCGACAAGATTAAGGTATGTTTGAGGAGATTTTAATTTTGAGAAGTAACTAGTAGGAATCCTTGGTGATAATGTGAATAAGTTGAGAAAACATGCCAACTTCTTGCTTCAACTCCCTCTGTCTCAAAATATAGTCACAACAACTGTTAGCATTAGGCTAATCTAATACTAGGTTACTATATATATTTTGGGAGACGGAGAGAGTACAACTGTGGCTTCTTAGAATCTAGATGAAAAATTAAGATGGATTGTTTGAACGAGTTTTTATTCTGGAAAAAGCTACTAAACAAGCCCAAGGAGCAAGGTTTCTTCGACTAGGTCAAGTAGTTGGGCTTCATTTGTGATTGTTGAACTATGGTGTCAGGTTTCTTTAGGTGCAGGATATTCGATCGTTCCATTATCTTAAAAAATACAGTTATTGTGTTATGCTGAATCGTCGTGTTTTTTGTTTTTGTAATTTGTTTTAAATTAGCAAATATATTGTTTCACTCCGAAAAGTTGATTTTCGTAGAACAATCATGGCGATTTATAATGTTAGACAAAATATGATACCCAATATAATCGTTCTGTCCCACCCAGTGGCAAGGCCAAGAAATTTAACATGGCAAATCGAACTGTGTGCTAAGTGTTTACCGATGATCCTGGGCAGCCACCCAGGTCATCGGGCGGTGGATAGCGTTATTGCTTGCAAGTTAGATTAAGAGATCAACTCATCAAAGAAAAAATGCTGAAAACAGTTGCATGAAACGAGATTATTTATTATACAATGTACTTCAACAATGTCAATTAAGCAAACTATTAGCATTTAATTACAAAAAAACAAAATACTACATAAATCATACTATAACACTTTAATCCATCATTGATGTTTAGCTTGCTTACATGTAAATTAAAAAAAAAAAGTAAAGTAAAAAGGTAGGAACAACCTAGGTGGAACAAAATGGATCCACATGCATGGGATTTCACAACAAAGCTAGCATGGACGCAACAAAAGTGAAAAAGAAACAGAACTAAGAAAACAAAGACCATGACATGATACACGGACTTTGATGTCAGAATGTTATGACAAATACTATACCACATATAGTAATAATATAATCAGTTAATTGATTAATATCTCAACCCAGTTAGCTAGACACAATAACTAGTTAAATTACTAGTAATGAATTAGCCCTGCAGCTAAGCTCAATTCCTTCGGAATCAGCTGTTAATTTGAACCCATCCACACCTCCATCGCCGGCCTAGGGCAGCATCGCGAACGTCGAGATGTCGCCCCACGCCGGGATCGCGCTGCCGCAGTTGGAGGTGGCGTTATCATCGCCGCCGCTACTCCGGCCGCCGCTGTTGAGGTTACTGCTGGTGGTGGCGGCCACGGCGGCAGTGGCAGGCGGCGGTGGGGAAGGGAGCCCGTAGGAGCAGCTGTCCATGAACCACGACGTCGCCGACGGCATGGCCGCCTCCATGCTGGGAACACTACCAGCCATGTGCATGAAGGCGCCACCGCCTCCTCCGGCAGCATGCCCTGACGCTGTGGCTTGGGCGCCGTTGCCGCCACCGTCGTTGGCCTGGGCGGCGGCGGCGGCGGCGGAGGCGGAGCCCGGCGGGCCGAGGAACATGGTGGCGAGCCTCTGCTGCTGCAGCTTCCAGTGCAGGTCCTGGTTGATGAAGCTGAGCGACTCGATGGACGACGCGATGGTGCTGCTCACCGCGCCGTGGCCGCCGCCGCCGTTCACCGCGTTGCCGCCGGCAATGTCCCCCGAGGGCCACTCCCCGAACGGCACGTACTGATGATGCCCGACGCCGCCGCCGGCGGGGGATTGGAGCCGCGGCAGCGGCAGCATCCCGACGGCGCCGCCCTGCTGGAAGTCGGCCACCGCGGCGGCGGCGCCACCGAGCGGCGACGTCGACGACGACATCATCATCGTTGTTCCACCGCCAAGAAACCCCAGCCTGGCAGCAGCCGCCGCAGCGGGGTCGGCCGCTGCACCGCCGATACCCTCCACCGTCGGCAGGTTGAGCGAGAGGCGCGATGCCGCCGCCGCGGAGCGGGATCGCTTGTTCTTGCGGCAGCCGCCGCCGACTGGGACGTTGCGGAGCGCGCCGCCCTTGGTCCAGTACCTCCGGCACGTCTTGCAGAAGTGGCGCGGCTGGCTGAGGCTGTAGTTGTTGTAGTAGCAGAACTTGGTGTTCGGCGAGTCGCACCGCGGGCACCGCAACCCCTGCTCCTGCGGCGGCGGCGGCGGGAGCGGCTGCTGCTGCTGCTGCTGCGCCGGTGGCGGCGGCGGCGGCGTCGTCGTCCCCCCACCTCCAGCTCCCTTTCGCGGCACCACCGCGTCGTCCCCGGCCGCCGGCGCCATGGCACACCGTACAACAACAACAACTGTAGCTAGCTAGCTAGCTGGCTAGCTGCAGGGGGTCTAAGCTGGCTAGCTCCGTGATGGCGCGCTAGCTCTAGGTTGGTCTGGGTGTGATTAGGTGGACAGGGAGGGGTGGCCGTGACGCCGCGTGCATATAAGAAGAAGAGGAGGGAGATCGATGGTGGAGGAGGGTTTCGTGCGGGGGAGGGAAGAGGAATTGAATGGCGTCTCATGTGTGTGTGAGGGAGAGGAGGAGGATCATGCGCTGGGGCTCGGATCGGCTGCATGCATGGGATTAATGGGAGGTAAAAAAGCGACGTCTCGGATTGCCGCCTGTGATTGCCATCAAAGTGCTCAGCTCAGCACCACACCTCACCTCTCATCTCGTCTCATCTCAGCGTCTCAGCCCAGCCAGCCTACCAGCTAGCCCGGGTAATAATCACCTGTGATTAATCAATGTTGCTGCATGCCTTCTCCCTAGCGTAGCTAGCTCTCGATTGATTAATCGATCGATCGATGGGCCCCTGTTCACTGTGCACCCTAGTACAAGCTGTCTGCCGCCGCCTGCCGGCGTGTCAGAGTATTGTCTGCGGCGACGAACAGTACGGAGGCGGTAGCCGTCCTGGATGTTTTACACTTTCGTCCTTTTCAAAAACTTGTTTAACAAATAAACCCCTAAAAAAACTTACACCGTACTAGAAATGGTTCTTTTTGGACGTCATAGTCATTGGCGCCGTGGTCCAATAGGACGGTGACATCATCTCTTGCACCGTCCCCCTGCCATCGTGGCTGGCCGGCGCTGACGTGGCAGGGGAAGCGCGCCAATGATAATTTTCTTTTATTTTATTTTATACTTTTTCACATTTAGGAGCACACAAGAACCAAACATAGAAAAATTAAACTCAAACGAATGAAATGTGACCTGTAGAATTTTTCAAAGCTCTATCAAAAAACTTCTCGCCTTGAAAACACAATCTTGCAAGCAGAATTTCGAGATTCTAATTTCACCAAACCCGGGCGAAATGGGGGAGAATCAGATGTAACTTTTTATGTAGATATTTGTAAATATATAATTTGCCTTTTTCTGTATTTGTTTTAAGAAAGGTCACTCGAATGTAACAAAAAAACTCAACAAACACTAACAAAGCAATGCTAGTAAAAAAATGCTAAAGGGTTTATAGGATTAAGGAAATGTAATCTAATATTGTTTTGGTAACTTTCTGACTATAGGAAAAATAAAAACACTGAAAACAGAAAGTCTCTTACCGATAAATCTTGCGTGGATTTGAGAAGAGGGAGAGAGAGAGAGCAAGAGCAGCGGCGCTCGGGCTCGCGTAGGGAGGGCGCGGGGGATGGGTGTGACCCTCGGGGGGAGCGCACCAAGGAAAAAAAAGATAGCATTGTGGGTGGGGGGTAGCATCATTGGCACGCTCCCCCTTCCACGCCAGCGCTGGTCCGCCACAGTGGCAGGGAGACGGCGCCAGATATGCTAGCCCCATCCTAGTCCCATTGGACCATGATGTCACTGACTTTGGCACCCTAAAAATGACCATTTCTGGGATAAGTTTTTCCAGAGGCCTATTTGTGAAATAAGTTTTTAAAAAGGACCAAATTGTAAAAGATTCGGGAAGCATACAAAAATAAGGGAATGGATTCTAAACTCTCGAGGGAATATCTCTCTGCATGTCATTTAAATAGTTATGAAAAAAAATTTAAGAAGATGTGTTACATGTAATATATCACCACAAACATACAAGTCCAACTTCTACATGTCACAACAAAAAATAAATAAATTTGATTTTTAATTTTTTTTTTCATTGCAATATGTAGAAGTTTAATTTGAACATGCAGTTTGTGGAGTCGATCTAGTAATATATCACATGTTAATACATATTCTTAATATTTTTTTAATTTTTTTCATAACTATTTGAGTGACATGGAGACAACAAGAGGATATCCCCTCGAAAGTTTAGAATTGTTTTCTCTAAAGATAATACTACATCCATATCGGAATATAAGTGTTTTTGACGGTGATATATATGGTCTTCGAAATAATACTTTGACTGAAAAATATTTATAAAATAAGTTATTTCAAATAAATGGAGTAACATATTATAATAGTTTGTTTAGTGATAAATACATCAACATCATTCTCATAGATCAATCTTTTTTATGTTTCCCTATTAATAGTTAAAGTGAAAAATGTTTGACTTAAAATTATTCTAAAAATTTTTATATTTTGAAACGGAGGGAGTATCTTAGTATTACTAATCGAAGCATGTACAGATTCATAATACTAGTATACATGTTTTACATATTATATTTTAGGTAAGGCAGTATATACTATCACTGGTGGAGAAACCGTCTTTGGTCGGTCGCCCGAAATCCACAATAGTCTCGGTTCCACTAAAAACCGGGACTAAAAATGATCTTTAGTCCCGGTTGGTGGCTACAGCGGATATATTTGATCTTTAGTCCCGGTTGGTGTTACCAACCGGGACTAAAAATGATCTTTAGTCCCGGTTCTAAATCTGTCAGGCCTTGTCAGCCCCCCGAGATCTTTAGTCCCGGTTGGTAACACCAACCGGGACTAAAGATAGGGATCTTGTTACCAACCGGGACTAAAGATCAACATAAGCTTTACTCCCGGTTGGAGTTACCAACCGGGACTAAAGATGTATTTTTAGTCCCGGTTGGTAATACCAACCGGGAGTAAAGATTCCCATGCTATCCCCGCCTTTAAGTCCCCTTTTTTTTCTCTTCTCTTTAAGTCTCTCGGTATCCGCCTCCAGCGCCTCCTCGATATCCCCTTCCTCCCCTGGCCCTTCCCCTTCCTCCTTCCCCTCTCTGCTCCCCCTTTCTATCCCCGCCTCCTCCTCCTCCTTCCCCTCTCTACTGCGGCCGGGCGGCGGCGACGGAGCGAGGTGGCGGCGACGGAGCGAGGCGACTGCGCGGCGGCGGCTGGTGGGGCCGCGGCTGTGCGGCGGCGGCGGAGCGAGGCGGCCGCGCGGCAGGCGGCCGTGCGGCGGCAGCGGAGCGAGGCGGCCGTGGGCGGCGGTAGGTGGGGCCGCGGCCGTGCGGCGGCCGCGCGGCAGGCGGCCGTGCGACGGCGGCCGATGGGGCCGCGGCCGGCGGCCGGCGACAGCGGCAGTCAACATTGTTTTTTTATTTGTGATTCACTGTGATGTACTTTTGTATGGACAATATTGTGATTCATTGTACATTTGTATGGATCTGTGATGTATAAGATTTGTGATGTTACTTTGGTTTGGGTTTGATTTGGGTATTTGAGGTTTGATTTGGGATATGTATCCCACTTAATTCGAGAGAAAAAAAAAGAAAAAAAAAAGAAAAGGACCATCTCACCGCTGCTACCTCTCTTTGGTCTCGGTTGGTGTTACCAACTGGGACTAAAGATCCCCTCTCTTTAGTCCCGGTTGGTAACACCAACCGATCTTTAGTTCCGGGTATTTGAACCGGGACTAAAGATAACGATCTTTAGTCCCGGATTGGTAGTCCCGGTTTGAAAACCGGGACTACAGGGGGGTTACGAACCGGGACTAAAAAGCACTTCTCCACCAGTGTATATTCAATAAAATTGGCACATTCTAATTGTTCTTTTTTCAAAAAAGAATACGTGACGGTAACGCTAGCTCGGACGGTTGCGCGGCTTGCGCCATTGCCATGGCTACGTGACGACGGCATGCAAGTGCTATGCTGTACGCTGGGGCCGGCTCGCGAGCAGAATCACCAGATATGGTGCTCGCCTATACTGTGTTCATCGAGAGTAACCGAACGAAAATGTATATATGTAACTGAAGTTGCGGCGTTTTGCGTGCATTTTTAGTAAAAGTCATCGAGGGCAAAACTACCATAAAAGAGAACGTAACAATCCGCCTCACCATGTCTTCTGCGTACACCCTTGCTCCCGTTAAATTTATAAGCACATAATGATTTAATTTATTTTATAAATAAATTATGACATTGTAGATGTAAACTAGCATAAACGCATCATAAAATCTACACATGTAAACTAGACAGTAAAGCATGAATAAATCGAATATATACAACATGTTGAACACGTACCAAGGATAACAGAAGACCGGTTTCTCTGCAGAAAGCATGGGCGGACCTAGGGGTGTGCCGGGTTGGCACCGGCATACCCAATTTCTTTTGGGAAAACACTAGGATGTATATGCAATCAAAGGACAGAATTAAAAATAGAATACTCTACTCTCAGAAAATAGAATATAACAATGATCACAGTTTGTCATCTTGTAATCGTCAACAAATCAAATCAGGGGAAGAGGGAAGGACATGAAGAGAAACGAGAAACAATGGGGAAAAAAGAACAGCTAGATAGATTACGATATGGGGTTGATAGTTCTGAATTTTATAGATTTTTCATAAATTATGGACCAAATTTGAATAGAATTTTGAAAAATCGGACCAAAATCTGCCAAAATTCTTCCATCATAATTGGGTGTTTTCTTTTTAAAAAATATATAGTGAAGTGATCGCTAGAATGGGCACACCCAGTGCAATTTTTCTAGGTCCGCCACTGGTAGGAAGTACTCGCGGTTGCGGGCGTTGATGATGGCGCACAGCACGCAAGCGAAGAGGGAGCAGTCGCGCGAAGCGCTTCCAAAAACCTTATTGTCACCTTCTCCCGGTGCAGGACATCGAAGACGAATGTTCCAGAGACCTGCTCTCCCGATCGCCAGTGCATGCCGATGAGCGGGATGGAGTAGACTACGAGCGACGACGTAATACAGAGGGGAGGCAAACCTTAGATTGATTTCACCTGTATTCCGTGGAGGCAGTGACTCAACTTATATAGAAATATCAGGACGCCTGCATGATCTCCACTCCACGTAATCGAACTAGATAAGTCACGCTCAACTTATCCAGACTCCACGCCGTTTTATGCACCGGATTATTCAGAGTAGACTATGAGCGACGACGCAATATAGAGGAGGAGGCAAGCCCTAGATTGATTCCGCGTGTGTTGCGTGGAGGCGGCGGCTCAACTTATATAGAAATATCAAGACACCTGCACGATCTCCACTCCGCGTAACCAAACCTGATAAGTCGCGCGTAATTTATCCAGACTCTACGCCATTTTATGCATCGGATTATTAGGAGTGTTTCCAAAACAATCAAATCCGAATTTACCGCAGCAAAACAAAACTGCAAAAGAAGACTGCATCTGCGCAAGGGTGAGAAACCAATTTTGGCGGACAATTGCATATGTCATGCACGCACCGCCACGCCAT